GGATTTTAGTACCCTTCGTTTAAAAATCATTTGGACACAGTGCTGAGAAACAGATAGGGAAATTCCGTACTCGTGTAAACTAGAGACTAGAATTAAGGTTCTGTTTGTCTATATGCTAACCCGCTCTGAACAGATAAGATTAGTTTCAGTAGGTTTTGTGTCATTGAATCAGATGCCACTGAAAAAAATTGGATTTCACTATTGAAAGCAGACGAAGTCGCGGGCGCATCCGCGTATTGTATAAATACGTTCCTAGCTTCATAACATGTCCTGTCTCCACTGTCAATCGTTGAACCTGATAAGGAGTAATTAGTAATTAGTCGACGCTCGTCTGACTCGGCCACCGGGCATCCAGGAGTTATGACGTGTGCATTATCTGTGTGATCATTGTGATGTTCTCTAGGAAGAGTAAGAGGAAGAAGGGCAGTTCCGTTGCTAAAGTGAGTTTTAAGTTACATTCGATGACATAATTTGCTGTCATTGCTACTATGGATGGTGTTATACTATTTTGACGGGCGGTTAGCAATGTAAGGCTATAATCAACGGGTCGTGGGGTTGTACCACGTCAGGTCCAACATTGTATAATCAATTAATCATTTTTCTGAAACATGTTGGACTCGATGTTAAAGATATAAAAGGGCTGGTAGTAATATCGAGATGCCGCTCTGGTAATGAATCACCGTCCACTGATGAAAAAATCTCAAGTTTCACCATGTTTCCGTTGCAGTCTGTGGATTTTGTGTTGTATTTAATGCATGCTTTTATTTAACGGTCGATTACGTCTGCTGCAAAATCAAAACGTTAGTTAGTAAACAACAAATAATTTTCACGTTTCTAATCGTCAAAAGTGTTCTATTTAAATTTGTATCAATTACATATAGCAAATACTATATTTATAATGTTTAAATTTCTCGAAACGTGACCAGGTCCTTTGAAGTCACGCGTGTTATAAATCGTGTGCATTTCCTGGTATCATTTTTAATGGACAGCCGAGAATATAAATATTTATAGTCTGTCTCAATTGTGATTTATTTCTCTCGGGATTGCTCTTTGTGTGGCTCGACACTATTGCATCTATGTGTGTTAATGGCACACGTATTACTTTTGCAATATTTGCATAATCCAATTACATTATTTATCATTATTATTTTCTATTGGGGACACCGATAGAAATAAAAGACCGAGTCAACCACTCCATTTTTGCTGTCATCATCCCCTCTATACGGAAGACATTTGGTTATCCGACTCTTGTGTCTTCTTGGGTACCTTTGTAAGATCCTATCACTTGTTCCACTTTTAATTCTTTTGTATTATCAAAGACATCCCTTTAAATTAATGTATGTATTTTTTTATTTTTCTTGTGCAAAGGTCAGTCATATACATAAACGTCAAATAAGGTCAAATGAATAATTGATTTGACTAAAAGGTCTTTACATTCATTGGAATAAGCCATTTTATTTTGTTTCTCATATTATATTAGATTTCGCTTATATTGTTTAAAGCAGATCTAATTTAATACGACTACGGATTTTATACGATAATATTTGGTATTTAAATAAAATACTTTAACGGTTTCAAACGCGGTATATTAGTTATAGATAGTTAGTTAGAAAGTGTTTTATTTAAATGTGTACTACTCGCGTAAACTATAGACTGTATTGAATATTTGATATTTTTTACCACTTTAGTATTTTTTTTATGCACATGCTAACACTTATAAATTAAAAATTGAAAAAAAAAATCGATGATGACGTGTAGGACTCGGTAGCTCAATTTGTTAAAGCAAGAGCACGGAATGCTGAGTACACCGGTTCAAGTCCTGCGCGAGTCGTAATATCTTGATATTTAATTTATTTCGTTTGTTACCTTTCTTGATAACTTCCTCGAACCTACTCAATGAAACACTCGCTCCGAGTGTTTGGTCTGTACCCAGCGTTATGTTGATGTATTTCTAATCAAGCTACAGCTGTAAATGTCATTCGAAATAATGTGGTGAACATAAATAGATCTGTATCGCCCGTTCGGGGCATTCGCGGTGAAGTCATCGACGAAAATACACGGTTGTACTTTAGGGTTGACTTAGTTTATTTTAGTTCTGTTAATTAATTCCTTGATTTATTGCCATGAGTCAGTTATGGCCGACTGTAACTAACATTACTGTGGAAATTAAAATATAATACATATACAAAATAAATATATTAAGGAGATAGTTGTGTCACTTCCATAATTAGCTCATAAAGAAAAATTTTCATACCTAATTTTTAATACGAAAAGGTTTAATATCTTTCACATGTTTTTGCACATGATGGCACTATATAAATTAAAAATCAATTGTAAATTGAACAAAATTTTTGGCGAGTGGTATCAGTAGGTTGAAAAAACTCGACGTCGACGTGTAGGACACGGTAGCTCAATTGGTTAGAGCAACAGCACGGAACGCTGTGGATGCCGGTTCAGAGTCCTGCCCGAGTCGTACATTATTTCATGTTATAATAGACTTTTAATTTATAAAAGTTTTTATATTTCTTATACCTTGCTTGGTGAAGTCAGACAGTCATAAAGGCAGAGTAAGTCAGTACTAACTTTACTTACTTATTACTTACGCAATACTTGAATAGATTACATTCCTTCTTTATTCACGCAGTTAAACTTGATGCCTTTATTTTCCATTACCTCTATGATTTTAATATTATAATTTAAAGATAAATACACACACTTGTCCGTGAACCCGACACTGTGTACATTTCGCTTTGTTTATCTGAGATATCGCTTATCTCAGCGACTTCTCCGTTGCACTGATTTCCTCAATAAACACTGTCATCGTGTATTGTGTTTGTGGTAAATATTTGTTTGTTAATATCGTGTTTTTCCTCGGTCATATGATATATTCTAGCTCTTAGTGTTTAATTCCACTTAGATTTTTTATAGGAACTAATTTGTTTTTAATTCATTAAAAGCCTTACTAAATGTAGATAGCTTTTTATTGAATTGCTAATTTCACAAGTCTTGCAATAACGAACTCTTTTGTTTTGTAGGTTCATACTATTATCTAGCTCTATCAGTTCTCGAAGCTTTCTCGAAGCGTCTGGTAAATAAAACGCTTTAACGATTTAAAACGTGACGTGTATTAGTTAAACTTATTTGTCGCCCCGTGACCATGGCTGCTGCGAAGCATTCGAAACGTCGGGCCGTAGTTAATGTAAATTTTCAAATAAGTTTAACTAAAATATATCGCTTTAAACCGTTAAAGTGTTTTATATAAAAGTGTACTACTCGCGTAAACTACAGACAGTATTTAATGCCAGTAAGCCTTACGCAGTCATTTAGAAGGACTGATTATTAGTAAATTTCGACGATTCATTATCAAAGTATGTACTTCAACGTCGCGCCACCCCTAACGGAATGAATGAAACGGCGACAGTTCTCAGAAATGATGCAGGCGCCGTGCAAGTTCAGTGCATGAGTCATCGCAACCTTCTTATTGGCGAGAGTAATGCTCCATTATCTAATTATCCGCAATTGAATCGCGCTCGATCAGCGGCGTTAATAGGCGCCATTGTCTTTTGAGAGGTCAAGGTCTCTTGATATCGTAATCTTCAGTGATCCATTTCTTCTTCAAGGGGTTTACTGTACTTTACGTATTCAAACCGTTGTTTTGCAAACAGTTTGCAATATTTTACTTGTTATAGTATGGTGGGCCCAATATTACACTGGGTTGACTATAACTTTGCACACTGATTGTGATAGTCTACTTACTAAAATTGGAATTTGCGTTGACTTAAGCATGGACTTCCACCGTCGATGGCTTCCACCAACCTTTAAGGCCAAGAAGTAAACTACAATATTCTCCTTTGTTTACTTAAGCAAAAACATGTGATTATGGACTTAATTATAAGCGCTGTTGAAAGTCCGATTGTGCACGGTTAAAACATATTTATTTTACGTAATAAGTAGTTAACGAGTGCCACAGACTAGTATGGTCAATGTACAGTAGGGCGTATGGCCGTGATTGCTTTACAATATAAATTACTTTTTCCATCCTTCCGTGTTACCTTATCCATCGACGCGATCCCACCATTTATGGCTGATGAGATGACGTTTCTTACTTGCAGTTTTGTTTCAATGTTTCTCGAGATTGTAGGGGCATTTCAATGGAGGTTCAACTTAGTTTTTGTTGGTGTTGTTTGTATATTAAGCAAAAGTTATGAATCGATTACGCATTGATGTAGATTCATAGAAAAAGTCTAGAAACTGTCGTAGGTACTTTTCTAATTAATGTCTAGCTATCGAGCTCAAGTTTCCTTTTAAGCATTAAAATTAATTTCCTTAACTATCAACTTGATTATAACCCACGAAAGTCCTTTAGTGCTCGTGGTATTGTGCCGTATTAATTATTATGAATGCCATGACAACGTATAGTTCAATAAAAATGTCTTGGAAATGCCCCTTTTCCGATTGTTTTGCTGTAACTTCACTGTGAGTGACTGTTGAGAGAATATTTTTTAATTAAGATTCACGGTTTCACTCTCTTCTTTTGCTTTATTTTTATCGTATTTATGCTGCTTTATATTGATAGCATGGTAATAAATTAGGAAAATAATATTACATGAATTTACTAGCGAAAAATTTAAGCTAAGTAGAGTTAAAGTTGTGCTATATTATATGTTTTTGGTCCTCCCCATACAGTGTATGGTGAGGGGTTACAAATATTAGTATCATTAGCAAATATAGTACTCGAGAATACGATGTCAATTATAAAAATACAACGCTAATATGAAATCTCGGTATATATTGACCGGGTAAACGTTGACTTATAAGATTGATATTATATATATTGTCAACACAATTACTATGGCCAAGAATAAGGATTGATCCAAGTCTTTGCATTAAATTACATAGATAATATATATCGTGTCAAATTGTACAATCAATTACTGTGGTAAAGCTGTGTTGCCTTATGGCCAGAAATAACGAGTACGTTATAAATTTTTTTTTTTCAGAATGATGAACCGCCCGAGATCACCTATTGCGTGGTGGGCGGCGAGGGTGGTCTGGCACTGCAGGCCGTTACACCCACACACCCTATGCCCTCGCAGGATGAACTGGACGCGAAGTTCGCTGAACTTGTGGTGAGTGTAGAGCCTATGTATTATAATTTTTATGACAGGGGAAGATAGATAAGCTTGGGGTTGACTGAATGGAAGATGAAATACCTCAGCCATCTATCCTGGAAAAAACAGACACAGTACGACCTATTTTGGCTTTAAACATTCGATGCGTGGAACAGAGAAAAATATGTCCTCGACGCAATTAATAAAAAAATAGAGTACAGTCTTTTTAAATGTACTTAAAAGTAAAACATACTTTAATAAAAATATCAATCATAATTTTAGGTTAAGAAATCTAATAGAATTATAAATGCGTGAGACACACACACACACACATTACGACCTTTTTAAATAATATGTAAACTATTTAAATAAACCGGTTTGAAACGCTATATATTAGTTAAACTTATTTAAAAATGATTTTTAACTTCGGCCCGACGTTTCGGATGCTTTGCAGCAGCCGTGGTCACGGGGAGACTGAATCATTTTCAAATAAGTTTAACTAATATATCGCGTTTTAAACCGTTAAGGTGTTTAATTTAACTGTGTGTATTACTCGCGTAAACTATAGACAGTATAAAATTTAATCTATATAAAGAGATAGTATGTCGTTTTTTCTTGTTTTACGAAAGCACCAAAACAATTTGAAATTTTGACTCGTTTTATTATCTCATTACAATAATATCGTGTATTTAGGCTAATTGAATGTTTTCTTTAATTGCCCAGAATAAAGTTGTATCATTGTGTTATCAATACAATATTACTTAGTGCGTTTCTTTTGGATATAATTTATACTCCTGCGATATAACTGAATTAATTTTAATTTTATTCACATCTCGTTGGTGCCATGGCTGTGATAGATGGATAATATATATTGGGTGGTGGCTTCGATTCGCACTAAGTGCAGATGCTTTTATATAATTTATAATTTTTCAAGAAAATGTTTACAACTTTTTCCCGTCTTAAAAGCAAATTCAATTATTGTTGAATGCGTCAAAATTTTACCGCAATAACGAACGTACGTAAATGTTTTGATTTCAATATGTGGCTTGTAAAATCGCCAAAGCCTAAATAGGTCGACAACGTCCTAATTAGATGTTATACAGCTGGATACCTTCCATTAAGTAAACCCGATGCCTTTCTTTCCTCCTCCGTCGAAAGAAATCATATAGGTAGACGATAATTCTACCAATATTATGTGGACGTGGGGCAGTAAAAGTAATTCCAAAGACATAACTACCGGTATTTAATTGCGTGATCAAAAGTACTTAGCACATGCCTCGCCCTTAATAATCGATGGAAAGTCAACAGGTGTTAGTGAGAACACATTAAGAATCTCTTATCTGAGACTCGCATATCTATATTAAACATTTTATCTGTTTATAACTTTATACGAAAGCACGGAATTAATTGGCACCTGTTGATCGGTTGAATTGGCGATGATTTGCATACTTTATTGCGATAATTAAAATGTATTTATTATTCTCAATTGGGGCAATAAACTCTTGTGTCACTTTCAATTCGCAACGAAGATATACAAGTGAAATATGTTCTTAATGGCTAATTAAAAAAGATTTTTTTTTGACCCGCTTTTGGTAGCAATGCTTGGCTAATAAACCACGGGTCGTGGATTCAATTCCCACCGTGTAACGTGTTTCTATAAATATATTTAAAATATATATATGAAGCATGTTAGACTTCGTTTGGCATATATTGACATTTTAATAAAAACTTTAACGGTTTAAAACGCGATATATTAGTCAAACTTATTTGAATATCTAACTTATTCAAATAAGTTTAACTAATATATCGCGTTTTAAACCGTTAGTGTTTTATTTAAATGTGTACTACTCGCGTAAACTATAGACAGTATATATAGACATGTTAAATATTTGAATTCTGTCCTCATCACGAACCACCGCCCCTAAAAAGTTTCGGTTTAAGTCTGCGAATTTCCTAGTCCAACATATGTCGATAACACATCACGTAAGATTTTGAACAGTTTTTTTCACCTTCCATCAAGTAAGCTCACATCTATACCTTAGTTATTTGTAAACAAATTAATATATTTGAGTCTCAACTGAGACGTCCATTTATTGGATCGCGTATCGTTTATTGGCCTATATCCCAGCGCTGGGAACGAGAGGACTAACGAGTCAGTTCAAAATGCGTAATGATCAATTAGCTCCGCTCATTCACATTAAAATCTTGACTGAAAGTCACGATACTGACATTCTATTGAATACCAGTTACACAGTGACATCTTAAGTTGGATACTGTTACGAACAAATATATTAGCCAGCGATTTAGCGAAATACTTTAAAATGTCTTGAATGGCTAACATGACTGACACACCACCGGGGATTTTTTGAAATTCTACCTGTGGGCGGTTAAAGAGTTAAATTCTTCTTTCAATTTTTTCCTTATTACTAATCTTATTAATAAGAACTCCTTGAACAACACGAATTAAATAATATCCGAAAAAATACTTTCTGTAGTTTACGCGAGTAGTACACATTTAATTAAAATACTTGGTTTAAAATGGGGAGACTCCCCGGGACCACGGCTGTTGCAAAGCATATCCAGGTCGTAGTTAAAATATTTATCATATAGGTTGAACTAATATATATCGCGTTTCCAACCGTTTAAAGAGTTTTATTTAAATATCCGAACATGCAAAGCCGAAATAGGGCGACAGCGCATCTAGTTTGGATGCTATATGGTTTTGTATTTCACCTTACATCAAGTGAATCTCTCATGTTTGAAAACTGTATAAATTAAAAATCGATTTTTGACTGAAAAAAATATTACACGGGTGGGACTTGAACCGGCTTCCACAGCGTTTCGTGCTGTTACTCTAACGGTTGCTGGAACGCATTTTCGTGCCGGTTCGAGTCCTACCCCGTATCATAATTTTTTTCAATGTAAAATCGATTTTTATAATATAGAACTCCATGTTTGTGTTGTCCTCTATCACAAAGAAACATGTAAATAACTGTCCACTTCAATACCTTACATAATAGAAATACCTAACTATTGCGTGATACTTTCTCCTAACAGATTAGCAGATCGCGTGCTATTATTGGATGCCTTTACAATCAATGATACAAGATCCGATTATGGAGTTAATAATAGTTTGAAGCATTTTTATATGCAAATGTTATTACACTCAATAGCGGACTGACTAAAAACACATTTTAGGAATAAAAATAGTAGATCTCTCATTATCTATCTAGTATCGGTGTTCAGGATAACACTTATACATAATGTGTGTTACTTAATTTTGTACTTGAGGAAATAGTTATTGTGTTTCTTGGGTGTTCTTCTCGGTCATGTTGCTTTTTATAACACTAGAATCACAAGAGACAGACAGACAAACATTTTTTGACGAATCTAAATAATTTTTGAAATTTTAAAGGGAATAAAGTATAATTTATTTTATTTTGAAAAAAATCATAAAATATTTTAAGTAGTAATTACATCTTCAGTAATATCTGTAGCTTAGGCGAGTAGTAACCGTAACAAAAACATTTAAAGCTTCAAAGCAAAAATATATTGGTTAACTTATTTTAACTTTACCTCCGAGGATACATCAGGGCGTAGTTAAAAAATAAGATAATGAATACAGCACGCGTTTTAAACTGTTCTAATTGTTGTTTGTAATTCTATAAAGGTAACAACAAATATAGGCAAGGAAATAAAATAAAGTTCTTTCATCTAACTATATGTTTATTTAAAATTTAAGTTCAATGACTATCGGAATTCCAGTTTCTACTGATCGTGTCGTAATCGTATAGTGTAAAGCGGATCACAGTAAGTAGCGGATGCTACTATTACGTGCCTGAGCATTTGATGGGATTACGCGTCGCGACTACTGCTCGCCGAGGGTCACCTTTTGAACTTTGTAGAGTTCTTGATGGGTGCTTTGTCCTTCTTAATCGGTCAAATGTCTAAGACGAGATACTTACCCTCATCCATCATTAAAGCGTGGTATAGAATCAGTCTACCCTTTGTAATCTCACTTACAGGAGGTGTCGCATTTGGGCAATACGTATACGATATAATGATGTTGTTCATAAAAAAAGCACACATAAAATTGGAGTTATTGTAAAAGAAAATATACTGTACGTACTGTACTGTCTCCCCAACAGTCATCCCAAAAGTATTAATAATGGTTCCCGCGGGGGGTTGGTGGGGGGGGGAATATCTGTCTGTAGTTTACGTCGAGTAGTAAACATTGAAATACGTAAACTTCAGCTTTACCGGTTTAAAGATGTTCGCGACATATATTAGTTAAACTTCATTGTAAATTATTTTACTACGTAGTTAAAATGATAATATATATCGCGTTTTGAACCGTTTAAGTGTTTTATTGAAATGGTTAATTTCGTTTAACCATTAAATATGAATAGGTTTTAATCAACACGTCAAATAGCATTTCCCATATAGATTAATTACGTACGTTAAAGCAGAGTTAATTAAAGGTTATGTTCACATAAACAAACGCTGATGAAATAGCGAAATCTCTCCAGTCCGTAGAGAGAAATGGTTTTTCATTAATAACTCGCCCAGCCGCGGCTGTAACACTTTGAAAGTAACATCCATACATTAATCCATAATCATAATCATAATCATATTAAAACTTTCGCCTTTATAATAGTAGTAGGATGGTTAATATCTGTCTGTAGTTTAGCGAGTAGTAAACATTGAAATAAAACTTTAGCTTTAACGGTTTAAAACGCAATACGTATTAGCTAAACTTAATTGTGAATTATTTTACTACGTAGTTAAAATAATAATATATATTGCGTTTTAAACCGTTTAAGTGTTTTATTTAAATGGTTAATTTCGTTTTACCATTAAACATGAATAGGTTTTAATCAACACGTCAAATAACATTTCCCATATAGATTAATTACGTACGTAAAAGCAGAGTTAATTAAAGGTTATGTTCACATAAACAAACACTGATGAAATAGCGAAATCTCTCCAGCCCGCCCTAAGAAAATCATTAATAACTC